GGAGTTCAATTACTCATTACCTACACACACATTGTTGTCACGTTGTGAGCGTCTTATATATATACCAGAGAAATATATATCTAGTAAATGCTAGGGCATTCACGAAGGAACAAGATACTTCTAGAAAATAGGTGGCGTCACACTAGTCACGTGACCTCGATGACGCAACACGACGAAACTTAAGCTACACAAGTCCTTTCTTAAATAAAACTGGTTTATTCTTTCTGAATATAACTTTGCGATACACTTAATTTCAACAGTCGCGCTATAATTCTCAACAAACGTCTCACGTGCTCGACTTGAACAATACTCAGTTCAATTACACACTCTCTGACTGCAGTTCAATTACTCATTACCTCTCCGTTGCTTCGTGGCCAGTCTTATATATATACAAGACTACACTATATCTAGAAGGATCACTAGATTTAAGAAAAAGACGTGAATGTTCGAGAAGGACGTGGCGTGATACTAGTCACGTGACCTCGCTGACGCAACAGTGAGATGTGTTTGTTATTTAGAGAAGGGTTGTCATTTTCAGCTTTTATTGAGACTTAGCTCAAACATTGGGATTTCTTTTTATAGGATCTCTTAATCGAATAGTATGCATTGTTTTCAATTGAACTTCAAATTGCTAAACGGATTTACAGATTTTGCTACAATTGACTGATGGTGAACTGCAAGTTGGACTCAGAATTGTTAACCCCATGCATCGCAGGAAACTGCGGCTTGCGATTGAAGAGCATCGTAATCCTTCATTTTTGTAAGTATTTGTAAAGAAAACTTCGTAAAATTAAAACCCAATTAATATATAAAAAAAAAACTCTCGCGCTTGAATAATTTTGAAGGATTGTATCACAGTATTAAAATATTTAATAAACGTTTGACTTATATTTGTTTTGTATTTAGCGCAAAGCTAGGCAAATTCCTTCTCCTCCGTAGGGATCACACCTTTAATTTGATCGTTACGTTTACTATAGTGTTTTACATATAGTTTATTCTTGTTGTCCTCTATCTAGTCTTTGCATTTTAATTAATAAAGCCATTCTTTTCTGTGTGTTTCTAACGTGTTATTTTTTCATATTTACCTGAAAAGATGCTAGATATCACATGCTTCCGGGACTATAGTCCTCCACTTTGTGTTTGCGCTCTATTTAATAAAAGTACTAAGTTTTATAATTATTTTTGCATTGAAAAAGTTTCTGTCAATAAAAAAATTAGAGTGCAATGATACTGCCTCTCCTTTATTGTTTAAATTTGAGGTAATAAAGGTAATTAGTTATGAGTGTGCTTGATCTTGTGTTTAACTTCCATAAGTAGCTCGTTTGAATGTTTTGGTGCATTTAGTCCTTCCTCTAGTGCTTTCCTTTTAGTCATTAAAAGTTCCAAGCTTTGAATAAATTCACTGTTTAGTCTTCCTTTTATTTATACAAGAAAGATATATATATTTCATTACTAATTCTCTTTTCCACAGTTTAAATCCAAAAATCAGTCTTCTGACCCATATTTGGGTAGTGGAAGAATGGTTACCAAGTTTAGGCTTAGCTATGTACAGTGAACATTTTAAGTCGCAGCTTGTAGATGGGAGGGTCTTAGATACACTTACCAAGAAAGATCTGGAAAAACATCTCCATGTGTGTCGGAAGTTTCACCAAGTTAGCGTGATACATGCTATTCACTTACTACGTTTAGTGAAGTTTGATAAACAGGTATGTCGTGTTTCTTACAATGTTTAATGTTTCACGTGATATATTTTTGTTCTGTTTTTGTACAAGAAAGTTCCATTTATGCTAATATAGGTCATGAGCTGACTGGTAAGTAATGCTTATTTAGTTATTAAGGACTTAACCAGTAATAGATTATGTGAGAACAAGTTCCACAAGCAACTTGGTTAATAAATAATAAGTAAATGTGCAATTTGACTAATTTTTTGAGTGCCAAATTGCACACCTAACTCTTCCCTTGGTGAAAGCCTGACATATCTGGTGAAAACATATAAATAAAAGTAAACTCTCAGTCATAATGGGCTTTATTTTTGAAGCTCTTGTAATGCATTTTAAATATGTATCATTAAGTTATGCAGGTTATTTTAAGGAGGCTACATTCCTCCATCTTTTTTTCTCTTGAAAACCTGGAAACATGCACAAGTTTGCTAAAAAATTAGCAATATCTTTATGAGAATTTCCAGAGCATTCTTTCTTCAAGTAAATTGTTGTAAGTTAGGGGGAAGTGGATCTGAAGTGAGGAGGTGTAGCAGTTGAGTGGAGAAACTTGACTGAAATGGCAAAGCAGCTATATCACTTCTTGTTCAAAGCAGCCCATTTCATGGTAGAGATGTGGTCAAGATTTCTACTGTCTAAATTTGGCACATTTGATGCATTAAATTTAATAATAATCTTGAATTTTGCTTCTGTGGAAAACTATTCTACATCGAGAAGTAAGAAATATCCTAAAAATATTTTAATTATGAAATACCTCTCTAATTCAGGCTTAAGCACTTATTCGGACCCTAGTATATACTGGAAGTTAAATGGTATGAATCAGAAAAGAGCAGGAAACTTAAACAGCAGCAATATCTTTATTCTACACATTGTAGCTGGACATTTTATTACTGTATATATTGGTTATTATGGGAAACGAGCCAAAATGCTTAAACATTTATTTACAAGCTTTGACTTGTAAAAGTTTGTTGTGATGCAAGTTTTATTCAAACTCATCTGTTTATAATAGTTATTACAGTAATGATATAGGGTTATTCTATAAAATATTTTAATTTTCAAAATATATGGGAAAATTTAATATGAATTTGGTTTGCTTTTGGACTACTAAGCTAGCATGCCAAGTTGCCTGATTTGGTCAACTCATTTAGGAGATGCGTCCACAGACAGAAAGATAGTTACCCTGATATTGGGAAGTTACTGCACTGGTATGGCTTAATATGTATAGTGTATATGTGAAGAACGCCTCTACCCCAACATTTATACTCAGTTCTGCTTCACTTTGCTCTCCACAACTGGATAATATCCAGTTAGTGGAGAAAAAGCTTGATTTAAATTTCTCCCTATATAAAAAAATAAAAGTTCTCATTTAATCAAGTAGCTACCAAATAAAAATTAAAAACAACCCTGTTACTTGTGAAAGGTTAATTTTGTTTTGATCTAATCCTTTCTGTAATTTCTTCTTATTTATTAAAATCTTCATGTAGTTTGTTTGTAAACTCTGACAGAAAACTCTATCAATTGTGAATGGCTTAATGTTATCTTAGTTTGATATTTTTTCTCATTTCCTCTTGTTGATTAAAATCTTGTACTTTGTTAGTAAAATCTGTCAGAAAACTATCAGTTGTGAGGAATTAATAATAAATTAATTTGATTATTGTGTTGGGAATTTTGTTAATAGGTTATTTGCAGGACACATTGTGTATAGAGCTAAAATGTTAGGTTTGTGTACGAAATGTAGAAGTAAACAGTTTAATTAGCTTTTATTGGTAGGTTGGATTAGTTTTGTGTGTATCTACTTTTATTATCGATTTAAGTGTTATTGACAAATATTTTCAGCGTTATATTTTAGGTCCATATATAACTCGTAAGCACAGTCTTTCTTTTTGTAACTTGGTTTGTAAGTCTGTTTTTAAATTTTAATCTACTATCAGTATTTGTGTGATTGTGACTTTAGAATCAACCATCCTACTTATACCTATTATAATGATATGTTAGAAGAGGTTTGCCCTTTGTTTTACCCATTTTACAATATATTTATTGAATTCTTCAGATATTGGATAATGATGATGGACTCCCTTGAAATAAAGTGATCTTGTAAAGCACACATAGAAGTAAATGATAAAAAGTTGTGCAGTATTATTATGATTGGGCAAGTTTATTGAGTTATATATATATTTTACAGGTATTAATACAACGAAGGTCACATTCTGAACATATGGACCTTGACCCAGTAGTATGGACCAATCAAAGGTTTATCAGATGGGTAAAGAGCATTGACTTAGCAGTAAGTCTACTTAGTAAAAGTACTGTTTTCATAAACAGTCTTATCATATAGGCTATTGATTTCTTAGAATGGATGATTTTAAGAGTATCCAGTTTATAGAGTAATGATTTATTATTATTTCGTCACATTTAAACTGTTTACTTGTTAATGTATTCCATTTAGTTATTTTTGATCTATTGTTTTTTATAGTTCCTATTGTTAAACTCATGATTTAGTGGTAAGTTAAGTCATGTACAATACTGACCTGTTCTTTTTTTTAGATTGATTTAATTTGAAGTCTATACTTAATGGGTTTTGAGTAATTAGTAGAAAGCAAAAAATGGAGTGCACTGACAACTCTTCATTGTCACGAACTAGATTTACTGTAAAATAAATTTGTTTTAATGCTATCTGGTATAGGAATATGCAGAAAACTTGCAAGACAGTGGTGTTCATGGTGCATTAGTTGTGCTGGAGCATTCCTTTACTGCTGATACCATGGCTACAGCTTTGGGCATTCCAACTTCAAAGAACATTATACGGAGACACCTAACAACAGAATTGAATAACTTAATTCAGCCAGCCAGGCAAGTTTTTCTTAGTAGATCAAAGAAACTATCTAAATAGTTTAATTCAGCCATAATATTTTTTTGTAAACAGCAGGGCTAGATAATTTTATGCTTCCAGCTGGCTTAAATGTTTACTTTTTGAGATAAAAAAAGTTTGATAATCTAATTCAGTTTAGTATCTATATTTTATGACTATTGCAGTGTTAAGAATTTTTTATCACTTGCTTATATCATAGGGTATTGGAAAATGTAACTTCAAAATAGAATTATAAGCTAAGTAATTAATGAATTTCCTATTAACCTATTTTTATGTGTTTTTTTTTTACATTATTACTTGGCGTTTGTATGACTATCACCTTAATAACTACTAAATTGAGTTAATGAATTGTTTTTTATTTGATGTAACAAATAGATATTTCTAAATAATGTTTTTCAAGTTTGAAACCACTCCATGCCTCTCTGATGATACTTTTCAGTCTAGTAAATTTACACAGTACTCTTTTGCTATATTACATTCAGATGTAACATGTTACATTGTGATGTTACTCATAGTCTGATAAACTGCACAGCATTTTCATACTGTATTATTGTCAGATGTGATCCGTTGCATGAGGATGTTTCAAGATAGACAGTTGTTTCTAGCTGGTAAAGTGAATTGTTTTGTTTCAGCGACATAGTGGAATAATTAAGTTTATCCTTTATGTTAATATGTGTGTGCAGTTAGCATCATTTGTAAATGTGGCCAACAAGTTCCATGGATTGGACTCTGAATTATTTTTACCAGATAATTTAAAACGATCTGCCAATAAAAGAACATTATTACAACTGCTTTCAGCAGTGGGATTATTTCGTTTAAAATATAATAGAACTGACTAAACATGAACTTTCATTCAAGATTATCACAAGTGTACAGATTGAGATAAGAAACCTTATAGATATTATAAGATAATGGGAAGAAGAACAAACAGAAAGAGACATAAAATGAATAGAGGATCAGGAAGAATGGGATAGAAAATTAAAAGAAAACCAAGAAAAATGAGTTATTTTTCAGAAAACATAGCTTAATGATAAAACAAAACACGAATGTAATAACAGGAAGTATTTATTAAACGTTTTGGAATCATCATAATTCCATCATCAGTAATCAAGTGGTACATAACAAACAAACAATATTTGTAATTACAAAAGAAATATATACATAAGAAATAAACAATTCTCAAACTGAGGCACAAGTAAAATAGTTATAATAGGTTTAAACCTGGTGAAGACTGTGTTATTTAGGGACGGGAGAAGAGTTTTTATGTATAATGTTTCTTTTATAAGAAGTTCAGTATCGTGTTTGGCTGTTG